TTTTTTCCTTGATTTCCTTTTCTTTCCTTCCTTTCTTTTGTTTTTTCCTTTTTTTCCTTCCTTCCTTCCTTTTTTCCTTCCTTCCTTCCTTTTTCCTTCCTTCTTCCTTTCTTCCTTCCTTCCTTCTTGTTTCCTTCCTTCCTTCCTTCCTTCCTTCCTTCCTTCCTTTCCTTCCTTTCCTTCCTTTCTTTAATTTTTCCCTTCCTTTTTTCCTTATCTTCCTTCCTTCCTTCCTTCCTTCCTTCCTTCAAAATTTTCCTTCCTTTTTACCTACCTTTCTTCCTTTTTTATCTTCCTTCCTTTTTTCCTTACCTTCCTTCCTTCTTCCTTCCTTCCTTCCTTCCTTCTTCTTTCCTTCCTTCCTTCCTTCCTTCCTTCCTTCCTTTCCTTCCTTTTCTTCCTTCCTTCCTTCCTTCCTTCCTTCCTTCCTTCCTTCCTTCCTTCCTTCCTTTCCCTTCCTTTCTTATCTTTTTTTTCCTCCTTCCTTCCTTCCTTTTTCTTCCTTCCTTCCTTCCTTTCTTGCTTCCTTCCTTCCTTACCTTTCTTTCTTTTCTTCCTTCCTTTTTTTTTTTTTTTCCTTCCTTCCTTGTTTTTTCTTCTTTCTTCCTACCTTCTTGATTTTCTTCCTTCCTTCCGTCCTTTCCTTTCTTTTCCTTCCTTCCTTTTTCTTCCTTCTTTCTTTTTTTTTTTTACCTACCTACCTTCCTTCCTTATCTTTCTTCCTTCCTGATTTCCTTCCTTCCTTCCTTCCTTCCTTCCTTTCTTCTTTTTTAGGTTCTCTTACACTTGGTGGATTTACTTATAACGACACAGTTTTTTTTTTTTTTTTTTAATTTCTTTCTTTCTTTTTCTTTCTTTCTTTCTTTTTCATTTCTTTTTCTCTTTTCTTCTTTTTTCTGTCCTTTCCATTTTTTTTTTGATTGGCCTGACGTATGATTTGCTCAGTTTTTTTGTTTTTTTTTCCTTCCTTCTTTCTTTTATTTGCTCTCTCATTTTTTTTTTTTTTTTCTTTTTTCTTATTTTTTTTTTTCTTTCTTCCTTTTTTTTTTTTTTTTTCTTTCTTTCTTCTTTCTTTTTTCTCTTTATCTCTCTTCGTTTTTTTTTCTTTCTTTCTTTCTTTCTTTCTTTATTTCTTTCTTTTCTTTTCTTTCTTCTCTTTCTTTGATATATTTCTAGGAATTTCTTCGTCTTTCTTGTCTTTCTTTCTTCTTTCTTTCTTCCTTTCTTTTCGTTTTTTTTTTCTTTTTTCTTTCTTTCTTTCTTTCTTTCTTTCTTTCTTTCTTTAAATGATGATCAGCCATGTTGTCGCTGGACGTGACTTATAAACACTATTTTCCTTCGGCCATATTTCTATCCGTTTTTCTTTGCTCACTCTCTTCTTTATTTTATTTTATTTTATTTTTTTCTGATTCTTTTCTCCTTTCTTCCTTCGTTCCTTCCTTTTTTCCTTTCTTATTTTTCTCTCCTTTTCTTTTTCTTTCTGGATATAACGTATAACCACGCCCCAATTTTTTCCTTTGTTCGTTCTTTCTTTCTTTCTTTCTATTTTTTTCCTTTATTTCTTACTTTCTTTCTTTTTTCTTTCTGTCTTTCTTTCATTCATTTTCTTCTTCGTTTCTGCTTTCCTTTCTTCCTATTTTTTAAAAGATGAAACAATTCATGGATTAAGAATAACAAAATCTTAACAATTTTATTCCTACATCTAGTGAACAACAGCGTTCAAGGAATCATTTCCCGTTTTTAGAAATAAACTGAAGTCCGTCTATAGTTCCATATGCTGTGTTTGCAAGTCGGGGTTATTCTTTGATACAATGAATTTCGTCAGTAGTTACAGATGTACTGTCTTTAATCCTCTATTCTCGTTTTTTTTAAAGCCTATCTTTTTTATTTTTGCCTTGTCTGTAAGGCTGGGTTATCCAGTCTTGATGGATCGAGTGAAAGTCGTTAAATATGCTGGTTATCTTTTCGTTCCATGTTATTGTTCGCAAGAGAGTTGATATGATTTCAACTCAACGTTTTTCTTTGGCATCATTCGGTCAAGAAAGAGGAGGAATTCTGGAAGCCGGAGCGAATCTAGAACGGTCGCTCAATATTTATTTATATTTTATAAGTTTATATAAGTCAAACAACATCTTTTTCTTTGTCAGTCTTCGCTGATCTTTAAATATTATTTTTTAATTTTTGTTCTTTCTGCTCGTCCACTACATTTTTATTTTTTATTGTCTTTTATCAATAAATGTTTATTGGTGATACATTCTTTCTTTCTTTTTTTCTTTCTTTCTTTCTTTGAAAGTATTTTTCCTCCTCACTTTCTTTCATTCTTTATTTGTTTGCTTTCACTCTATCTTTTTGTTCTTTTTTTACTTTCTTTCTTGACTTTCGTTCTTTTTTTCTTTTCTTTCTTTCTTTCTTTCTTTTTTTTTTTCTTTTTTTTTCTAATAAACCAAATATCTGATTTTTTTCTTTCTTTCTTTCTTTCTTTCTTTTTTTTCTATCTTTTTTTTGGTCCCGTTCTTTTATTTTATTTTCTTTTCATTATTATTTTCTTTCTTTCTTTTCTTTCTTTCATTTTCTTTCTTTCTTTCTTTTTTTTTCTCTAATACACCAAGCCTCTTTTTTTCTTTTTTTTTCCCATTTTTTTTTTTTTTTCTTTCATTTCTTCTTCTTCTTTCTTTTTCTTTCTTTTTTCTTTCTTTCTTTTTTTTTTCTTTCTTTTTTTATTTTCTCTTTTTTTACACCCCAACAATATTTTCTTTCTTTGAAAATGTTTTTAATTTCTTTCATTATGCTCTCTTCTTTCTTTCTTTTTTTTCTTTCTTTTTTTTCTTTTCTTTTTCGGTTTCTTTCTTGGCATTTCTTTTTTTTTTCTTTTTTTCATTTTGGCCTCTTTCTTTCTTTTTTTTGATCCCATTTTTTTTCTTTTCTTTCATTTCTCTCTTCTTTCTTTCTTTCTTTCTTTTTCTTTCTTTCTTTCTTTCTTTCTTTCTTTTTCTCTTTCTTTCTTTCTTTGATCCCATGTTTTTTACTTTCTTTTCATTATGCTCTTTTTCTTTCTTTTTTCTTTCTTTTTTTTCTTTCTTTCTTTCTTTCTAACTTTTTTTTCAAGCCTCTTTCTTTTTCTTTCTTTGATTTTTTGTTTTTTTTTCTTTCTTTTTATCTTTTCTTTCTTTTTCTTTTCTTTTTTCTTTCTTTCTTTTTTCTCTATTACACCAATCTTTTTCTTTTTTTTTTTTCTTTGATTTCTTTTTTTTCTTTTTTTTTTCTTTCTTTTCTTTCTTTCTTTCTTTCTTTTTTTTTTTTTTTTTTCTTTCTTTTCTTTCTTTCTTTACATTTTTTTACTTTCTTTCTTTTTAATCCCATTTTTTTTTTTTCTTTCTTTCTTTCTTTTCTGTATATTTTTTTCTTTTTATTTTCTTTTCTTTTTTCTTTCTTCTTTCTTTTTTTTTTTGTTTGTTTTTTTATTTTTCTTTCTTTTCCCATTTTTTTTTCTTTTTTTCATTTTTCTCTTTCTTTTTTTTCTTTCTTTCTTTCTTTCTTCTTTCCTTTCTTTATTTTTTTTTCCAAAACATTTTCATTCTTTCTTTTCTTTTCTTTTCTTTCTTTTTTTTTCTTTTCTTTCTTTTTTCTTTCTTTTTCCAAAGCCTTTTTCTTTCTTTCTTTCCTTTTTTTCTTTTTTCTTTCTTTCTTTTTCTTTGATTTTTAACACCAACAATTTTTCCCATTTTCTTTTTATTTTCAAGATTTTTTTCTTTCTTTCTTTCTTTTCTTTCTTTCTTTCTTTTTTCTAATACTCCTTTTCTTTCTTTCTTTGGCAGAAACATTTTCCCATGTTTTTTTTTAAATTTTCATTTTTAATCTTATTTCTTTTTTTTTCTTTCTTTCTTTTTTCTTGATTTTTCTTTCTTTCTTTTTTAATACACCAAGCCTTTTTTCTTTCTTTCTTTGATCCCATGTTTTTCATTTTTTTTATTTCTCTTCTTTCTTTCTTTTCTTTTTTCTTTCTTTTTTCTTTCTTTCTTTCTTTCTTTCTTTCTTTCTTTTAAAATATTGACCTTTCCTCTTTCTTTTTTCTTATTTCCCAATTTTTTTTTTTCTTTTTCTTTATTATGCCTTTCTTTCTTTGGAATTTTTCTTTCTTTCTTTTTTCTTTCTTCTTTCTTTCTTTCTTTCTTTCTTTCTTTTTGGATTTTATAATTCATTTTTTTTTCTTTCTTTCATTTTCTTTTTCTTTCCCATGATTTTTTTCTTTCTTTATTTCTTTCTTGGATCTTCTTAATTTTCTTTCTTTCTTAGATTTGGAAAATATTTTTTTTTCTTCCCAAAAATTTTTTTCTTTCTTTCTTTTTTCTTTCTTTTCTTTCTTTTTTCTTTCTGTTTCTTTGAGTTTAATACATTTTTTTTCTTTCTTTCTTTGATTTTCTCTTTTTTTTCTTTCTTTCTTTTTTTCTTTCTTTCTTTTTTTCTTTTTTTTTCTTTAATACAAAAGCCTTTTTTTTTCTTTCTTTGATCCCATGTTTTTTTTTTTCTTTCATTTTTTCTCTTCTTTCTTTTTTCTTTTTTTTTTTTTTTTTTTTTTCTTTTCTTTCTTTTTTCTTTTACACCAATTTTCTTTCTTTTTTTCTTTTCCCATGTTTTTTTTTTTCTTTCATTTCATTTCTTTCTTTCTTTCTTTTTTTCTTTCTTTCTTTCTTTCTTTCTTTCTTTTTTCTTTCTTTCTTTCTTTCTTTTTTGTTTTTACTTTTTTTTCTTTCTTTTTTTTATCTTTCTTTCTTTCTTTCTTTCTTTCTTTCTTTCTTTTTCTTTCTTTCTTTCTTTCTTTTTTCTAATACACCAAGCCTCTTTCTTTCTTTCTTTCTTTCTTTGTTTTTACTTTTTTTTTCATTATCTCTCTTCTTTCTTTCTTTCTTTTAATGTTTTTTACTTTTTTTTATTTCTTTCTTTCTTTCTTTCTTTCTTAAAAAAAAAAATACACTTTTTCTTTCTTTCTTTCTTTTGATCCCATGTTTTTTACTTTCTTTCATTATTTTTTCTTTCTTTCTTTCTTTCTTTCTTTCTTTCTTTCTTTCTTTCTTTCTTTCTTTCCTAATACACCAAGCCTCTTTCTTTCTTTCTTTGAAAATGTTTTTTTTTTTAATTTTCTTTCATTATTTTCTTTTTTCTTTTCTTTCTTTCTTTCTTTCTTTTTTTTTTCTTTCTTTCTTTTTTTCTTTTTTTCTTTCTTTCTTTTTTTCATTTGTTTTTTTAATTTTTTTTTGATATTTTGTTTTTTCTTTCTTTTTGATTCTTTCTTTCTTTCTTTTTCTTTCTTTCTTTTTTTCTTTCTTTCTTTCTTTTTCTTGTTTTTTCAAGCCTTTTTTTTTTTTTTCTTCCCATATTTTTTACTTTTCTTTCATTATGCTTTCTTCTTTCTTTTCTTTTCTTTTCTTTCTTTCTTTCTTTTTCTTTTCTTTCTTTCTTTCTTTCTTTACACTCAAGCCTCTTTCTTTCTTTCTTTGATCCCATGTTTTTTTTCTTTTTATTATTTTCTCTTCTTTCTTTCTTTCTTTCTTTCTTTCTTTCTTTCTTTCTTTTCTTTCTTTTCTTTCTTTAATACACCTTTTTCTTTCTTTCTTTTTTTGATCCTTTTTTTTTACTGGAGGAAATTATGCTCTCTTCTTTCTTTTTCTGACATTTTCTTTTTTTTTTCTTTCTTTTTTGTTCTTTCTTTCAAATTCTTTTCTTTCTTTCTTTTTTTTTCTTTTCTTTCCCTTTCTTTTTTTTCTTTCTTTCTTTCTTTCTTTTTTTCTTTCTTTCTTTTTTCTTTTTTCTTTCTTAGATTTTCTTTTCTTTCTTTATTTTTTCTTTCTTTCTTTTCTCTTCTTTCTTTCTTTCTTTCTTTCTTTCTTTTCCCATTTCTTTTTTCTTTCTTTCTTCAATTATGCTCTTTTTTTCTTTTCTTTCATTTTTTTCTTTCTTTTCTTTCTTTCTTTTTTTTCTTTCTTTCTTAATTTCTTTCTCTCAAGCTTTCTTTTCTTTCTTTTTTTGATCCCATGTTTTTTACTTTCTTTCATTATGCTCTTCTTTTTTTCTTTTCTTTCTTTCTTTCTTTTTTTCTTTTTTTTTTCTTTCTTTCTTTCTCTAGCCTCTTTTTTTTTTTTTTTGATCCCATGTTTTTTTACTTTCTTTTCATTCTTCTTTGTTTTTCTTTCTTTCTTTCTTTCTTTCTTTTTCAATTTCTTTCTTTCTAATTATTTTCTTTCTTTCTTTATTTTCTTTGATCCCATATTTTTTCTTTCTTTTTCTTTCTTTCTTCTTTCTTTCTTTCTTTTCTTTAATTTCTTTCTTTCTTTCTTTTTCTTTCTTTCTTTTCTTTTGATCCCTGTTAATACACCTTTCATTTTCTTTTTTTTTTTTCTTTTTGATCTTTCTTTCTTTTTTCTTTCTTTCATTTATTTCTTTCTTTTCTTTAATTTCTTTCTTTCTTTCTTTCTTTCTTTTTTCTTTCTTTCTTTCTTTCTAATACCCTTTCTTTCTTTCTTTTTTGATTTCATTTTTTTTTCTTTTTTTTTTCTTTCTTTCTTTTCTTTCTTTCTTTCTTTTTCTTTCTTTCTTTTTTTTTTTTTCTTTCTTTCATTTAATCTTTTTTTCTTTTTTTCTTTCTTTCTTTCTTTCTTTCTTTCCCTTATTTTTTTTTTTTTCTTTCTTTGATCCCATGTTTTTTTTTTTTTCTTTCTTTCTTTCTTATTTCTTTCTTTCTTTCTTTCTTTCTTTCTTTTTTTTTTCTTTTTTTTTCTCTTTCTTTCTTTCTTTGATCCCATGTTTTTACTTTCTTTTTGATTCTTTCTTTCTTTTTTTTCTTTCTTTCTTTCTTTCTTTCTTTCTAATACACCAATACACCAAGCCTCTTTTTTTTCTTTGATCCCATGTTTTTTACTTTCTTTCATTTGCTCTCTTCCATTTCTTTCTTTCTTTCTTTCTTTCTTTCTTTTTTCTTTTTTTTCTTCTCTAATACACCAAGCCTCTTTCTTTTTTTTCTTTGATCCCATGTTTTTTACTTTCTTTTCATTATGCTCTTTCTTTTTTTTTTCTTTCTTTCTTTCTTTCTTTCTTTCTTTTCTTTTTTCTTTTTAATACACCATACTTTCTTTCTTTCTTTGATCCCATGTTTTTACTTTCTTTCATTATTCTTTCTTTCTTTCTTTCTTTCATTTTTCTTTCTTTTTTATTAATACACCTTTTTTTCTTTTTCTTTTGATCCCATTTTTTCTTTCTTTCTTTCATTATTTCTTTCTTTTCTTTTCTTTCTTGTTTTTTTTCTTTCTTTTTTCTTTCTTTCTTTCTTTTTCTTTTTAAACCTCTTTCTTTTTTTTTCTTTGATCCCATTTTTTTACTTTCTTTCATTATGCTCTCTTCTTTCTTTCTTTCTTTTTTTTTTTTTCTTTCTTTCTTTCTAATACACCAATTTCTTTTTTTTCTTCTTTGATCCCATGTTTTTTTTCTTTCTTTTTTTTGCTTTCTTTCTTTTTTTTTTTTCTTTTCTTTCTTTCTTTCTTTTTTCTTTTAATTCTTTCTTTCTTTCTTTCCTTTTTTTTTTCTTTTTTTTCTTTCTTTCTTTTTTCTTTCTTTTTTTATTTTCTTTCTTTTTTCTTTTCCCATTTTTTTTTTCTTCATTTTATTTTTTTCTTTTTTCTTTCTTTCTTTCTTTCTAATCATTCTTTCTTTTCTTTCTTTCTTTGATCCCATGTTTTTTCTTTTTTCATTTGCTCTCTTCTTTTTTTCTTTCTTTCTTTTTTCTTTCTTTCTTTCTTTCTTTCTTTAATATACCAAGCCTTTTTCTTTCTTTCTTTGATCCCATGTTTTTTTCTTTTTTCATTATTTCTCTCTTCTTTCTTTCTTTTTTTTCTTTCTTTCTTTTTTTTTTCTTTAAAACAAAACCTTTTTTTCTTTCTTTTGAATGTTTTTTTTTTTCATTTCTTTCTTTTTTCTCTTCTTTCTTTCTTTCTTTTTTTTCTTTCTTTCTTTTTTTTTTCTTTAATCTTTTTACCTCTTTCTTTCTTTCTTTCTTTCCCATAAATTTTTTTCTTTCTTTTTTTTTACCAAATTTTCTTTCTTTCTTTTCTTTCTTTTTTTTTTTTTTCTTTTTTTTTTTCTTTTCTTTAATGATTTTTTTTTTCTTTCTTTTCTCATTTTGATCCCATGTTTTTTTTCTTTCATTTTTTTCTTTCTTAAAAATTTTTCTTTCTTTCTTTCTTTCTTTCTTTCTTTCTTTCTTTTTTTTAATTTACACCAAGCCTCTTCTTTTTCTTTCTTTGATCCCATGTTTTTTTCTTTTTCTTTCATTTGAAATTTCTTTCTTTCTTTCTTTCTTTTTCTTTTTTCTTTCTTTCTTTTTTTCTTTCTAATACAAAAAGCTTTCTTTTTTCTTTCTTTTTTTGATCCTTGTTTTTTTATTTTTTTTTCCTTATATTCTTTTTTTTCTTTCTTTTTTTCTTTCTTTCTTTCTTTCTTTTTTTCTTTCTTTCTTTCTTTTTTCTTTTTAATACACCAATTTTTCTTAACAGATTTTTCTTTGATCCCATTCATTTAGAACTTGGAAAATTATGCCTTTTCTTTTCTTTTTTCTTTCTTTCTTTCTTTCTTTCTAATACACCATTTTCTTTCTTTCTTTTTTTAATCCCATTTTTTTTACTTTCTTTCATTATTTTTTTTTTTTCTTTTTTTTTTTTTTTTTTTCTTTCTTTCTTTCTTTAATACACCAAGCCTCTTTTCTTTCTTTTCTTTGATCCCATGTTTTTTTTTTCTTTCATTTTTTTTTTTCTTTCTTTCTTTTTTTTTTTTTCTTTTCTTTCTTTCTTTCTTTCTTTCTTCTACAAAAATTTCTTTCTTTTTTTCTTTGATCCTTTGTTTTTTACTTTCTTTTTTTTTTCTTTTTTCTAATAATACCAAAAACTTTCACTTTCTTTATTTATTTATTTATTTTTCTTTCTTTCTTATTAAAATTCTTCCTTCTTTCTTTGATCCCGTGTTTTTTCTTTTCTTTCATTATGCTCTTTTCTTTCTTTCTTTCTTTCTTTCTTTCTTTCTTTCGTTGATCTTCTTCCTTTTGAATCACTTTATCTTCTTCACGTAATCATTCGTCTCTTCGCTTTTTTATTTTTCTCGGTCTTTTTTTTAATATCTCTTCGTTTATGAAATTGTTCTTCTTATAAAAATCTGTTTTCTCAAATCTGTTTTTCTTCGTACAATTCTTGATTCTTCATCGTCTTTCCAGAAACCTTAAATCATAAATAATTCATCATAGAGAAATCCACAGTGGTATATATCAGTTTAAACAGTATCTTCCAAAAAGTAATCAAAGTCTTAAGAAATAAGTAAATTCCGTTAAAAACAAAGTAAAAGAAACTGAAGTATCGCGTAATAGCAATCAGTGAATACTAAACACAATTCTCACGGATGAAGAAGAGACTTGAAGCAACGGAAATATGATTCTACAGAAGAATTCTGGGAATAGTATGGACCGAGCTTGTGAGCAACGACTAATTTTGAGAAAATTCGAGACAAAAAGGACACTTATACTTACAGATAGGGAGAGTTAAAATTTCTAATGAGGAAAGAGGACTTGGAAAATCTGACCCTCACAAGGCAGAAGGAAGGCACGAAGGATGGAGGAAAACAACACACAATAAAACAAGCGAGCTTGAATAAATGGATGGCGGAACAGGTTTCAGAGATGATAATAAAAAGACAGAATTTATTAAGAGCTACAGGAAATTGTGGAGAGCCATGATCGGCAACATCCCGAACAGACACGGCACATATAATAATAATAATAATAATAATAATAATAATAATAATAAATTTCTGAATGATGATCTGTGTCAAGGAACATGAAAAAAAAAAGAAATTTTATTTAGTGCTAAAGGAAGCCATCAAATTCAAAAGGGAATTTCAAGTGGATAAAATCGTGCAAATAAACCATAATGCACCGACTGCAGCGGCAAAGAATCTAAAAAAGAAAGCAAAAGCAAATGAAATGTACCAAATGTAGAAACGATGGCAAGATAAGCCTCTTCGTGGTCTGCCCGTACCAGACAAGGTGATGTAAATAAACCCCGTACACATCAGTGCCTACGTAGTTCAGAGTTAAAAGCTGAAAGCGAAGATTTTACCCTTTATTTTACAGGACCAATTCTAAAAACTAGAAATTTAGCAAGCACACACAACGAAAAATTGTGTTGACCCGAAATGCAGATTCTGTGATAAATATCCAGAAACAATTGGCCATCTTGTATCAGATGGCCATCTTGTATCGGATGGCACCGAATATAAAAACTTGGAATGAAAGAGTTGACCAACATCTTCACTGAAAAATATGCAGCTTTTAGGGGAAGGAAACTTCAAGAAACTGACATGAACATCACCTAAACTCAGTTACAGAGATAGGACCTGCAAAAGTTTTATGGGACTTCACCATACACACAGACAGACCAATGAAAGCTCTTCACCCAGATAACGTGATCAAAGACTACAGAAACAGAATGTGCTTTCTTATTGATATGCCAGTGTCTGCAGATTCTAATGCATCTGTGAAGATCTTTAAAAAAAAACTATCAAAATACCAAGATATTGAAGTAGAAATCAAAAAAACAAAAAAAAAACACATGAGGACATTAATAATTCCAGTTGTAGTTGGAGCCCTCGGATTGATTGGTTCCGATAGACTCATTGAAGTGATTCCTGGTAGTCCATACTTTAAAGAAATACAAAACATTGTACGCACAAATACAGTTTACGAGATTTTATCTATGTAAAATGTGTGTGATTTTTTTTTTTTTTTTTTTTTTTATTTTTACAAAAATGATTCAGTGGAAAATGTCATGAAGCCATTTCTGACTTTAGGTCTCTGGTTGGGACCCGGAAGGAAATGTGTATACAACAGAAATCAAAAGAAATAATAATAATAATAATAATAATAATAATAATAATAATAATAATAATAATAAATCCC